CAGTCTACCGAGAAAATAGAAGTTGCTGAAAAAGCTGTAAAATTCTTCTAGAGCTTTTCTGATAACTCCTAACTCATTTTCCATGGCTTCAACTAATTTTTGAAAAGTTTACTTGAGAAAATAAGTTTGTGTGTGTGATTTAGGCATGCACTTTTACGAGAATGCCCTTTTACTTTACAATATATTCACTCAGGCGTGTTGAGGCATGCATTCACATGTGTTGTACCCCAAAATTTGCCCTCCCATATTCTTCAAGGTTTGTCAAGAATCACCCTCAGATGGTTTAAGACTTCTCAAGGATTGCACAGTCCAACTGCCTCCTAAGCCAGTCAAAATTAGGGTTTTGGTTCTGTCAAGGAATCTGAGGTTTTTCAATGGCTCAATCAAGTCACATGGGCCTATATATATTGTCAAGCATCTACATGTCAAGTCTCAAGACTCACAGAGGCAAGTTGCACAGTCAAAAGCCCTATTTGGTTCACAATCAACTGCAGGGGTAAAATGGTCATTTGGTAGTCAAAAGTCAAAAATTTTGGTCAACATCTTATTTTGAGCTCACAATCATCATTTGATCAAGTCTTGATCATGATTCCACAAGCATGACTCAAAAATCATCAAAGATGCAAAAGTTGCTATTTTTGGACAGTTGAAAAGTCAACTGTAACTTGACCAAGGCATAACTTTTTCATGGTTCATCAGAAAAATCCCATCCAATGCTCATTTTGAAGGGGATGACATTTCCTATAACTCATCTTCACATTCCAAGTCCAAGAAATGCTCCCACAAAAAGTTATCAATTTCTACATTATAGGTCAATTTCAAAAGTCAACAAAAATGCACTTTAAGTCAAAGACCATAACTTGAGATTGGTAAATCAAAATGACATGGTACCAAAGGCATTAGTTAGAGGACTTCAAGACCTTTCCAAAATGTCCAAGAACATGTTCATATGATCAAAATTGAGCAAGATATGCATTGGAGAAGTTGGGAAATTTTCATGAATTTGCAAAAGTCAACTTTGCTCAAAACACATCATTTTTGCTAATGGGCCTCAAATTCCTTCTTGAAACTTTGTCCAAGGCTTATGCACGACCCATTGAGATTAAATTGAATTATTTTCTTATTTTTATTAATTAATTGGATTTTTAATTGATTTTTAATTCATTTAATTAATTTAATTGTAGGAAAATACCAAGATATGATTTCTAAATCTTTTTGTGAAGCAAAAGTGGTCAGCATATGATGGAGATTTCGTGTATCAATCAAGGGGACCAAAATCTCCAAAATTAGCAAGTTTTGGCAATCAAAAAGATGCAAAAATATTTGATTGAAAATCAAATATACAAACCATAATGCCATGGATTTTTGGACCAAGATTTACCCTAATTCAGTTCTACTATATATGCATAAGCTAAACCTAATTCCATTCACGTGCAAGCTGCTGCAAAAAGCCATAAGCCAATTCCAAAAATATCAAAGAAAACTCAAAACTGAATTCTACTTTCCACGCCAATTCAAAGCCTTTTCTTGATTCCAATACATTGCTAGGCCTCCCAGGAACGATTTGCAATCAAAACCAAGCTTCATAGCTCAAGAAATCGTGGCAAACAATTTTACGGTTTGAAGCTTTTTTCCATAATTGCATATCATTATTCATGCATATTTAACATCTTTTGTGGATTGTTTTGTGTTAATAGGACTCATACGAAGCTATTGGTGTGATTTAATTGCATTAAGACGCCCTGAAACGCAAGTTGCCATGAACGAATCCTAGGTTTTCGAAGCTTTAAATTTGGGGCTTTCCTATACAAGAAAAATTAGGCCTCAAGAGACCTATGGTTGAAACCGTCTGATCAAGACGAACACAAAGCCATACTCGCGATGAATTTATATGTATTGTACGCCTAATCGCTATTTTCTGTGGATGCAGGTTGTGGGGGTTAAAAACCCCCGCTATCCATTTGTTCTTTTTTGCAGGCATAAGGAAGAAGACAATAGGTGTAAGCACGTGATTGGATAATTCAAATATAACGCGCGCTTTCATAAATTCCAGCATGTTGATTGATTGTTAATAATATATTTGTTTAGCATTATACATACAAACGCGTGCAGGTTGGCTCAGTGGTTGGTGATCTGGCTGTGAATCATTGGGACCTGGGTTCGATCCCCAGGTCCACCCAAAATTCCATATTATTTTTCTTTACACGCTTGTGTACAGGTTTCCAAAGAGGGTCCATCATACACCTCACAGATCAGCATGCCAATTGGCCACAAAGGTGAATCCAAAGGCCAGGGATGGTTGACCATCATGTTCCCCAGTCAAAGCCAGCGTAGACCATCCAGAAAGTCAAAGCAGGCTTGATTCTTAATGGGCCAAATTGCTTCTTCATACCTCCTAATGGGTCCAACACACCCCCTGGTTTTCTTTCTATTTCTTTTTTCTTTCTTTTTATTTCTTTTAATAATTATTATTACTATTAATTAATTAATTATTTTTCACAATAAAATTCAGAAAAAATCAAAATGCAAATATTTTTATATTATTTATTAATTTCACCTTAGTTTATTTTTGTAAATAAAATGCTAACCAATTAATTTAGTATAATTAGGTTTAATTTTAACTATTTTTCATGATAAATAAATAAATTAGAATTAGGTTTTTTTTCTTTTGACAATTTTAATTCTTTTGATTTTATTTTCATCAAGACCTAAAAAACATAAAAAAAATACTTTTTCTTGTAAATAATTAATTAATTAGTTATTAGGTTTAATATTTCATTAATTGCAAAAAAGGACAAAATTCAATTCTTTTCTCAAAAAAAGGGTCAAAACCCTAAGGACGTCCCGATTCAATCTTTCGCGCGCATGTTTATTTTAATTCATTATATTTATGTATCTGCTCCGGAAATGTAATAGTTAATTAGGCTTTTATCGCTTTATTTACTTTTTCGTATTTATTTTCCAAACGGGTTTTGTTTTTGGCGATGTATAGACCCGCGCCTTGTAATAGCGTAGATTTACCTTTCTGCACTTTATTTCCCGCAAACTATTAAACTGTTAATTATGCATGACAAGATTGCCTGAAAAATAAAATCAAAGCGTAGCTCACAAATAACATGTACAAGATAATCTTAACCGAATCTGACACACATGCACATGCCACTCCTAGGGTACGCCTCACTGGTTGCCTCGACGTGGTCGTCAAGTATAGGGTGTTTTAGAGGTCGCCCTCCTGTCTAAAGATCCAGTTGCCTCGGATAGAAAGGATCTAGGACACTAGAGTTACCGCTAAGGCGTCCTACTATTGCTTTGGTGACCACACATGTCCCTTATAATCGAATTGACCCAAATAACTTCAACGACGGTGCTACCTACTTCTCAATAGTGGGATAGTACTGCCTAAAGGACTCTTACACAACTTAATTCCTTAGAGTAGGTATATTGCTCCTGGATACTTGCTCTTTCAAAAACAAAAACAATCTTTTCGCACCTAAACTTTCAAAAAGTTTTCAAACAAACACTTCATACACTCTTGAGGACAGATACAAGAGTTACCTAGAAGTCTTTCAAACTAAACTTTTTTTCAAAACCCACATACACTTGAAAAGCAAACAATTTTTGAAAACATAGTGAGCAAGTACCTAAGAGCCCGTGGATAACCACGGATAGAAAGGGTGCTAACACCTTCCCTTTCTATAATCTACCTCCCGAACCGAGAAACATCTCGAAAAGGAATTTTGCTGTGCTTTTGTCCTTTCCATATTGGAGAACATAAAAGACGATGGCGACTCTTGCTTACCGCGACATTTCGCGAACCAGCATTTCAAAACAGTAAGTTCTATTCCCACCGATCACAACATGCTTCAGTATACTTCAAGATTTGTCAGATGTTTTTTTTATAGACACTTGCTTGAGTTTATTTAAGATGAGGCTTGAGTTAGATTATATTTGACTGCCATCATCAGAGAGTCAAGTCCATCAATCCCTAATTCTTGTGTTTGCATCTTTAACTATTATAAATCGCTTATGTTTGACTTGTCACTAGTTGTCATCGTTAAACATTAGTTATCATCATCAAAAATTATTGTCTTTGTTAAATACATGTCACCTATAAGTAACCTGCAAAATAAGGTTCCACAATACTTACCTAAAAAGAAGAAAAAAATGAAATATGTATTGAAAATGCTTTAGTGGAATATATCATCTCATATGTGCTTCCTTATTTGATTCATTAGATACAGATAACCACATGGTTCTATGACACACATCCTACAAGACAATTGTATCAAAGAAGGTTTTAAGTCCATTAAACTCTAAACATAGCTATAAAGACTAACAAATGACTCAAACCCAAGATTCACACTATTAAAAAAATTTAAACTTCACACTAACAATCTCTACTAAACTAATCATCAAAGGAATTAGAAGTATATCTCCCATCGCCGAGTTCAACAAACAACATTGTCATTAAGGACTTCATCATTGTCATCACCATCACAATCCATTTTTTGTCGAATAGCTTAATAGCTGAAATTTTCCATTTTCAAAGATGAACAAATTAGATGTTATAAATTCGAACTCGCAATTCTTTATATAATATCTCTGCACAATTATCAATTGAGTTGTTTTAACGGAACACCATCACAACCACTTGAAGATAAACATCTTTCCTTCTAAAAAAAATAGTGTATTTTGTTTTAGTTTTAACCATATATTTACTTTTTATATACAATATTTGATTAGTGGAAGAAAAACACTCTTTAGCATTTCTCAACCTTTTATAACCAAATCATTTAGTTTCTTTTTTTATAAGCATATCAAATTATAAAGTAATTAATGCATTTTAAACTCAAAATGAAAATGATGATCAATAATAAGACACAACGGTAAAATCTCCAAATGTTGCGCACGCAACGCTTGCTATATAAAGACGCATTCGAAACAACAAGGTGGTGAATGAAGCGTGAAGTCTCTTTCACTTCCATTTTCAACATAGAAAAATGAAAAGACCACAAAAATCAAAGAAAAGGGTTCGCAAGAAACAACGGATTGCTGAACATCAAGAATGGTGGGAAAGAGAAGAAGATGATGAAAGAGAGTTTCCAAAATGGATGACTCATTACTGTAGTGATCATCAAATACTTTTGGTGGGTGATGGCGATTTCTCATTCTCTCTTTCCCTCGCTAAAGCTTTTGCTTCTGCTTCAAACATTGTTGCTTCTTCCCTTGACACCTATGGTTGGTTTATTCTCTCTCAAACTCTCTCTTAACACATGTTTGTAACACCTTTGTGTAGATTTAGGGTTTATGCTTTATTATTGAATGGTATGTGCTTACATGATTGTTTTTACTTGGTGTTTTAGGAGTCTATTGAGTTTGAGACTAGTCAGTGCCATTACTTTTGGTCTTTTATATTGTTTTAAAACTTATGAATGACTCAACCGAAAACACGACATCGACACTGACGTTGATACTGAGATGTCGACATCTGTCAATAATTTTCAAAAATAAAGAAATTAAACATAATCAAAAGTGTGTCTCCCACGGTGACACGGACACACCTTTTCTTAGAAGCTTAAAACTTTTATGAATGAGCTTCTCTCAAGTAGCCTTTCTCATGCATTGATGTGTATTTGGATTGCTTTGAGAAGTAGAGTATGTCAATGAACTTGGATTATTTTTCCTTCTTTAAATCTTTGATTAATAGCTTATTTCATTTTTTGTAATACTTGTTTTAGTTGTTTATTATTCAAATCTAATGTCATCTAGTTTTGAAGGTGCATTATTCTTATTGTTGATTGTATTGCAAATATGAAAGTCAAAATGATACTTATTTACAAAATTCATAGACTTGTGTACAAAAATTGAAATGTTTTGGCCTTGGTTTTGTCATCAATGCCCTTCTGTTCATGTAGACGAGGTTATCAAGAAGTACAAGAATGCTAAGTCAAATCTAGAAGAATTGCAGAAGCTGGGAGCGTGCTTGTTACATGGAGTTGATGCTACAAGAATGAAGCTTCGTCCAGATTTAAAAATGCGAAGGTTTGATCGTATAATATTCAACTTTCCTCATGCTGGCTTTTACGGGAAGGAAGATAACTTGAAGATGATCAAGTGAGTTTTCTAGTAGAGTTCAGTTTAATGACTAACTAATAACGTCTTCAGCACAAACATATAAAACTGGAAATGAATCTGTTTGTGAATGATAATATAAATCTACCTTTTTTGTTATGCACGAGTTTCTACAGAATTGTAAGTTTGCATTTTCAAAAATGCTTTGAAAGTTATCATAGTTAAGGCATTTAGTATGAAACTTTTATCAACAATACTATGTGATTTGTGTTTTCTTGTGAATTTTTAGGATGCATATGAATCTTGTGTCTGGTTTTTTCAAGAATGCAAGTCACATGCTTAGGGAAAATGGTGAAGTTCATGTCAATCACAAAACTACTCCTCCTTTCAATAAATGGAACATAGAGAAGCTCGCCGAACAAAGCTTTCTGATAATGATCGAGTGTGCTGATTTCAAACAGGAAGATTATCCCGGTTATAACAATAAGAGAGGTCATAGATATCGATGTGATGACCCGTTTCCTCTTGGTAAGTGCAGCACTTTCAAGTTTATATACAATCCTAAAAGTGTGAAAGACCATTTGAGGAGAAATCATATGGAGGTTTCTAGACAGCAGATGACAAATCTTCCATTTCAAGTGATTCACAACATAGAGCAAATCCCAGCTCCAGTTGATCGCAACTATCATCCTCAAACAGTTCTCGTTCAAACATCTAATCAACTCGATTACTACCCTCAGACAAGTCGCTTTCCAAAAAGGAATGAGACGGAAATGCATGGAAGGGTTGCTTGTTCTGCTGACTGTTATGCTCGCGATATGACACAGGACACAAATGCATACAATACAATCTCAAACAGTGTGACAGACATACATGGAAGAGTTGATTCTTGTGCTGACTATTATCGTCATGCTCGCGATATGACACAGGACAGTCAAAGATTGCTACAACCAATGGAGTCAAGTTACAACCAATCTTTGCAACAATGGCCGACACCGACTAATTGTAGACTTTGTTTGACACAACCCCGTAGAAGAATGGATGTTGCTCCTTCCATGCCACTTGGTGCTAGAAATGATGGCTACCACCAATATCAAGTCTTTGAAAGAAGCTCAACATATTTGGAAGAAGTTTATAGAAATGCTCAGAGGTCAAGTTTTTTGTATGATATAGCAAGGCATGACTTGGAAAGGTACAATGCTGAAGTTTCTAGGAGAGATTTTAGAAGAAGAGAAATCTATGTTATACAATGAGTATGTATGTGGATGCTACATAGAAGGATGATATTTTGTTACATACTATCAGCTTTTTGTTGCATAATGATCAATGGAGTTGTGAAACTGGTGATTTTGTAATCAACATTTAGTTTATGTTGATCTTTGGCATGATGCTATTATGCTATAAGAAGTTAATCTTTTTTAGTTAAATTTGCAAAAGAATTGATCAAGTTGACATGTTCATTGGTCATTATTCAATACTCCATTTGTTTCATACTATTTGTCATACATGTGTCAAATGGAGTAACACCTCTCTATTGCCATGTATTTAACTTAACAACATTAGTTATAATTGATGTTTTGAAAATTTCTAAAACATACACGTTATAATACATGTAACACTTCTTGCACACATTGAAGAGAACAAATACAGCTTTTTTTTATTTGTAGAGAACACAACCAATTTTGAATCGAACCATTATTTTATATACGAATCAATCAAACCATTTTTATTGAATGGAGTGAAATCATAAAAAAATTAAAGTCCTTTAATAACTATGGTTTTGTTATATTATTGAAGAGACGTGATTCTTGGAAATAATAAACTTTTGAACAAATAAAATGTAAACTACTTTCATTATTTAACCATGCAGAACAGTAAAACCATTGTGCTACACATTCTATGGTAGAATTTAAATGTTCTTTTCACATCAACCAAAAATAATTATCCAATATTGGTTAAACACTTATTGGAAAGCATATGAAAATGACCATCAACAAGTCAGGATGGCCGAGTGGTCTAAGGCGCCAGACTCAAGTTCTGGTTCTCGTGAGAGAGCGTGGGTTCAAATCCCACTTCTGACATATTGTTGCATTTTTTTCCAATTATTTCACTAAATATGCTTTTTTTACCCTTCTTTTGACATTTGACCTTTTTAGAAATTTATCTTTGGGCCTAATAATATAGTCCAAATAAATTCTTTTTTATTTTGTAAAATTTATTCATCATCCTATAATTTTACTTTCACTCATATATCTTACATAAATTTAATGAGTTTACTCGATGAGTCCCAAATTAATAAAATAATTATAAATGTAACTATTTATAATATGAGTGGTCCAAGGCGCCCGACTCAAGTTTTGGTTCTCACGAGAGAGTGTGGGTTCAAAACCCACTTATGACATTCTTGCATTTTTTCCAATTATTTCACCAAATATGTTTTCTATACCCTTCTTTTGACATTTGGCCTTTTTAGAAATTTATCTTTGGGCCTAATAATATAGTCCAAGTAATTTTTTTTTATTTTGTAAAATTTATTCATCATCCTATAATTTTACTTTCACTCATATATCTTACATAAATTTAATGAGTTTATCCGATGAGTCCCAAATTAATAAAATAACTATAAATGTAATTATTTATAATATGATACTTACAACACCTCCCTCAAATTGGTGATTAGATATCAATCATTTCAAGATTGCAAGTAAATTGGTTGAATCGTTTTGTTTGTAAATCATTTGTTAACACATATGTCTGGTGATGCCCATGAGGTATGTAGACAGTAGTTATCAATCCACTACTTAACTTTTCTTTGAAGAAATGTCGATCAATCTCAATGTATTTTTTCATATCATGTTGAACCCGATTATATGCAATACTGATGGTTGATTTATTGTCACAAAATAACTTCATATGGATTTCACATTGTATCTTTAAATTTTATAGCACTTGTGGGACTTGGACTTAGCAATGCGTGGTCACTTCTTTTGTGAGTACAATATCCTCTCTTAGATGTTTTGAATGATGTCAAAATTAGGCAATATATAGTATTTGTACATTGAACCTTATCTTTCTATATCTAGGTTGCATTTTCATCTTATGACACTTAGGGAACAAGTCAAAATCATTTAGACAAGTTAAAAATGTCAAAAATATCATTTTTTGGTAAAAAGATCATGTTTGGAGTCGACACACTCGTGTTAGAATTCGACTCCCACTGGAAGTATTTTGAAACAAAATTCTCTGGTGCAAGGAGTCGATACACAACAGGAAGGAGTCGACTCCCTCGAGATGTGGGTCGATTCCCACTGAAAAGTATTTTGAAAAATTATTTTCGGGCCAGGATGGGTTGACTCCAAGGTCATTGGAGTCGATACAAAGCCTGAAGGAGTTGACTTCCACGAGCTACGTATTGACTCATACTGAAGCATACTTTCTCAAAAAATTTCTATCCACTTGGAGTTGACTCCTAAGCAGTATGGGTCAACTCTCTTGCCCTTGTGAGTTGACTCCCACTTCGAATGAGTCTACTCTCACTATTCAAAATGTCCATTTTTTGTAATTTTGCAACTCTATTTTTTTTGTTTCATTCTTTCACACACTCACACATATATAGTCATTCATGCACCCTTTCTCATAATTGAAATAAAAAATATACAAAGATTTTCATCATCTCCGTCCTCTCTTATTGCATACATACAACAATTGTACATAATCATTTTTGTTGTGTGATCAAGAGGTAGCTTGATAAGTCTAATTAGGATTTGGTGTAATCAATTGGGTTGAAAAGTCTTTGGGGGTTTCAAGATAAATCCATTTGGGTTTTCTTTCAAGATCAAGGATTTATTTGAGAGTTTTCATAAGATTGTGCAATTTGGATTCAGCCGAGTGAAATCTTTGAAGAACAGGGGTTTCTACCAAAGGAGTAACAGTAACCAGAGGATCACTTTGGTAATATCGGGCCAGGATACATTTGTAATTTGGATTCAGTCGAGCGAAGGCTTTGAAGAAAGGGGGTTCTTTCAAAGGAGTAGCAGTAACCAGAGGATCAAATTGGAAGTATTGAGTTACTTTATCGAGCTCTGGTAAAGGGGAGAGAATAAGATAAGATCAACATCAAACTTAGGGTTTGGATGATTGGATTGCTACTTTTTTTCTTGTAAACTATATTTGCAAAGTTTAATTTTCATCATCTCAATTCCATTGAAATTGGGGACAGACGTACCCATAGCGAGACCGATTGGGAAACTGCCTAAACAAATCCTTCTCTCTCTCTCTCATTTACATTTACATGCAAATTGTGAAATAATTGATTGTGCAATTGATACATAGAGATAATCTCTTTGTTTAATAATTCAGACTGTTTTGTTGAGTTAATTACAATCTATGTGATTGTAATTGGATTTACATATAAACAAAATCATAGAAAAATATGTTTTGAATCGATTGCACACCAAGTGTTCGAAAAAATTCTTAAGTCAATTTTTGTTTGATATTTCATTGGAAATAGATTAATATTGTGTGATTTATTTCAAACTTGGTTGCTGAAAATATATTGATTTTCTTTCACATCTTATGTATTCGTTCTATCTGTTTAACGCATATTCGGTCTTTTCGATAACGGTTCCGATAGATGATTGTTGATCTGAGTTTGTTTCTGCGCGCCATAGTTAAAACATTTTTAAATAGAAATTTAAATAAGAAAATTTAATTGCTTGGACAATGTCTCCGCCATGGTATACCGATCTATATCTAACTTGGAACATTCTACAATATATTGTTTCCCTCATCAAGATACATGTCTGATGCGTTTAGTGGTGGAGCCTTGTCATCTAAATCTTATGAAGGTGGTTATAAATTGGTTGAAAGTATTACAACCAATATCTATCAATGTCCAGTTATAAGAGTTGTTGTTGTCCCTACTCAAAAGAAACCAATTGGTGTTCATGAAGTCACTAAGACTACAACCCTTGTTGCTCAAGTAGATTAAAGTAATCAAATGATTAAAAACATGATGACGAGTCTCGGCGCGCCAGCGGTTAAACCTGACAAGGCTGTGATTGATGCATCAAAGGTTTCCTATGTCTATCGTGGGGGTGCTCACTTATCTGAAATTTTTTCAGCAAATTTTGTTTTCGTTTCTTCGGAGTTGGAGGAGGTTTTTGAGTGGTATGAAAAATAATGAAAACGACAATAAAAATATGATTGATGAATACAAATGGTGAAGTATTAAAGTATTGAGCAAATGCATTTACTGTATCTTTCGTCAAAATAGTCTCTTCGCCTTGACCATCACCTTTGGCTGAAGCAGCAACAACAACTTTCTTTGCAACCACAACCACAACCTTATCTTTTATACTTTGCTTTCGATCAACAACTAAAAGAAAGGATGAGAACCAAATAGTTAAGGTTAAAAAAGTATGAAAAGGAACTTCTAAGAATAAATCGAAGGAACCTTCTATTCCACACCTTCACATGATGGAGAGAGTATTTGAACATGCTTTATGTCGATATGAAGGTGGACTTTGAAACTGTCCAGAGAATGCTTAGTCGGAACCACTCGTTCGGCTAGTTTTTTGGAATATTGTTTAAGAAGTTTTAGATGAGACCCACAGACAAACCATTATGTGAATGGAGGTCCAAATGCCAAGCCAAAATCAGCACTTGGCAATGGTGGGAATTTAGGCGGTTGAAGCTTAAAAGCCAACGCATACCTATTTTTGGGCTTGACGCACGAAGGGAATTTTAAAGTAGTGAGTTTCTTTGTGAACTTTTCTTTTAAAATAAGGGGTGCTTAACGAATGGTTCGACTAAGATCATTAGTTCTATATACAATTTTAAAGTATTTTTGGAACGCTTTAATTTCTTTGATATGAGTTGTTGTACCTTTCTTGAAATGCTCCTGTATGGAAGCAAAAGCACGAGTTAGATGCTAAGTAAAATTATATACATCAAATATCGCTTTGGTGTAGTAGTCCCTCCACCAAGTGTCAAATTCTTCTATGCAAAAATTTGATGGTCGAAAAGGGATGGGAGTAAGGGTAATGATGTTGACATATCAATAAATATGCTTGTTGCATTCATCCTCAGGAAACCACATGCTAAAGAGGCAAATAACACCCTTCTTGTCATAAAGTGGCTTGGGAATTATTTGGACGAGGCTAAACTATCAAGAAACCAGATTATATTGATAACTAACCAAAACAATTTGATCCTTCAAATGCCTCAGCCTAGTGGCAAGCAACCTAAGGGT